TTTCGGTGGTGACCGCCGGTATCATTTCGGTGGTGGGGATCATTTCGGTGGTGATTGGGGATCATTTCGGTGGCGGAGATCATTTCGATGGTGGGGATCATTTCGGTGGCGGTACAGATGCAGGCTGTACATAGATTGTGGTGAAATATACCTGTTTTTATAGTTGAGTTGCATCTATTCACTAATGATAAAGTCTTACATCCAGGTTGTCAATATGTAAGCAATGAAGTTGTTATTGACATAATAAAGATAATTCTGTAAAAGTGGCACCACATAATTTAAAGATAGTTTTGCTCACCTTAACATGCATGGACTTTTTATTATACATCAGATCAAATTTTATGCACAAATACAGAAAAGAGCATAGGCAAGGAAAGAAAAAAAGGGTCAACCTTTCCATCAAAAAATGAAAACCTGTCCACAGCATCCAGTTGCCATCAATATATATGCAGGGGTCCATATTCACTTTTTCTCAGAGTCATCAGCCGGGCAGTAAGCTTCATGGCATACATACTTGCAGCCGGGTTACAATTTGGGTTGCCTGGACAAAAGTGCAGAATTATATATAAAGAATGTGTAGTGCCAGAAAATATCTAGATCCCCACCATGGAGGGAATTTCACTTAGGACTCCCCCCTCCACCCCCTGGATTTTTCATTTTTGCAGGGAACTGATGGCCCCCCCAACCCCTCCGGAATTTCCACAAGTGTAACAAAGACCCCCCAGCCCCTCTGGAAAGTTCATTTTAACAAAGAAAGACTATTAAAGTAAAAGAATGAGGCAGTTTGTGGTTAGTAAGCAACAGTTTCCATTTATTAAGTGATCTCACAACATTAAAACACACTACACTACCACAAACTTAACTTTGCTCTTCCCTTTCTTCAAATGAAACAGATAAAGTTAATAAGTTGGTTGTATTTGTGAATTTACCATTATGTGCAGGCTTACAATTTGTTTTCTGTCTTCATGGGCATATTAATGTTGATAGAATTAACGCCATCTCAGCATGGCGCCTGAATGCAATATTGTAAACAAGTCAAACTTTCAACCACAAATATTAAGGCATACCTCCTGCTAATCTTGAAGCGAAACCATGAGGAGAAGTTCAATTTACTGTTTTTTGATCAACTGATGCGACATTATGCACATTAATGACCCTAATGTTTGGTGAAATTGACACCATTTGAGCATGACTGCGATCATCAACATGCCACACCTTCAACCACAAAACAAAGGGAAAATAAAAAGGAGAATAGAATCTCTAGATTCTAAAATGGTTACAATGTATACCTTGTGCTTTGTTGAAGCAAAATTGCCATTATACTGTTTTTCCATCGACTTAGGTGACATGACACGCAGGTAAAAATGATCATATTTTTAAATATTGTTGGTTTTGTAACTGCCAATGTGATCGCAAACATGTTAGCTTTCAAACAGGAGACAGAGAAATATAACTCTAGATTCTGAGATCACAACATTTTACCTCCTGCTTTTTGAAGCAAAACTTTCTCTGTTTTTCGATTGACAGAACTGATGCAATGTGATTTGTTGTGGAATGGGTTGATGTCTTTAGGAGGACTGGTAACAAGTAATGGCAGCCAAATCCTCGAGCATTCGATAAAACAAGCTGTAGTCGGTTTAATTCCTTTGAAATTGCATTCAAAATGCTTTTGGAAGAAAGAAAACCTGGTTAAGATAAAAAAAGAACAATCAGAAATGATATATTTCAAGTTATCTATGCCATGAGAATGATCTGCCAGGTCAGTGAGAAGCAATGTTCGAATGAATTGATATTTAACCCCTTGGAAAGTGATTTAGTTGTCTAACCTCCATCCCCTCTGGAATTTCCTGGGCCTCTGACTCACCCCTCCCCCCCCCCCACCACCCTGGCTTCTTACCCCCCGTACTCCGTCGGGGTACTGGCATGTTAGGGAGACCCCAATCGTTGCAATAAGTTTGTGATCGTATGAGTAGCCATGTCAGTGAGAAGCAATGTTCGAATGAATTTATATTTAACCCCTTGGAAAGTTATTTAGTTGTCCAACCTACATCCCCTCTGGAATTTCCTGGGCCTCTGCCCCCCCCCCCCCCCCCCAAACCCCCTGGAATTTCCATTTCCCTCTGTGGTGAGGGTCTGGATATTTTCTGGAACCACGCAATGGTGAAAAAATTGTGTGCAACTTGAGCATTTCTGATTAGCATTTTCTTTCTGTTATAGTCACTAAGAAAGGATTTTAACTAAACTGTTAAGTACAACAGGCCCATCTAGGCTAGACACAGTTTATTTATGTTTTTATAAGTAGCCACGGTCAGTCAGTTTGCCATAAGGCAAGACAGTGTGCTTATGTTTTCCCCCGTATAAGGCAGCAGCTCCTGTGTTACCTTTTTTTCCGTTGAAGGCCGCAAAACTTCTTCTAAAAAGAGTCACATATTGATGCACATAAGGCGCTGGTTTCTTTCTGCTTTACCTTTTGTTTTCACCAAAGGTGACACAAAACCCCTTCTAAGAATATGGCACATCTTGATAAGTGCTGTCATGTTTTCTGTGAATGGCCTCTGAATGGCGCAGTTCTTCCCAAAAAACTGAGCCTGTGATCGTTTCATAGAAAATATTGCACCATCAAAGATGGTGCCCAAACTTACGATTTCATTGCAGACAAAAGCTGCTTGTTATTCTCTGTTATTCTAAAAGTTTTAAGTGGATGAGAAGTAATCAGAACACAGGGAAAATTTATAAAATCATATGAGAAGTTTTGAAAAGATTTTGTGGTTGGGCAAAACTTCACTCGTCTGAAGGGCGACTGTTGAAGTTGTCTTAATATTGTCCTTATGAGATTGTAGTGGTATGGGGTGACCGGATGACTGGAAATATGGATCCCTGTGTATTTACCCACTACATTATAACAGCACACAAGGGCAGGCCAAGAGGAAGGTCTTTCCTAAAGTGCTGTTGTTTGTCCCTCGCATTAATTATGATAATTTCTAGTTAATGCTTTTTTCTCCTGTAAGTTGAATAATCGTGTGCTAAAAAGTTATGGTACACTGCTTTTCCCAAGTGATTCTTTATAGTGTTAATTATGTGAAGTAGGGGTGGCTAATGTTCTCCCCAAGCTTGAGTATAGAATGAGCAATGTGTCATCAAGTCGACTATGTCAGATGGGTTCATTACATGAACATTGAGAATTTGTGAACTTAAACTAGCTGTTTATGTTAATATGTCTTTCCTTTATTTACAACTTTCATTGCTTTTATAATTTATTCAAAATTTAAGTTCAACATTAAGCACCAAGCCATTAACCTTTAAAGCCCCAATGGTGACCAACATCAATTTTCTCCCAACAATATCCATACCTTGTCAAGAGATATAAGGTTATGAGAATTAAAGAAATGATCACTAAAGAGAAAATTCCTTGATCTTTTTTCAAATTCTCTCAACTTATTTTTTAAGGAAATGCATGGAGATCAGTTTGGAGAATTTGTCTGTGGATATTGGGGCTTAAAGGGTTAAAAAAGGCCAACCTCTCTCAGTCTCATTCCCAGAATCTTTCATTTCCACCTTAGAGGGGAAGATTAGAGAGGCCCAGGACTCTCTATCCTCCTAAATGCAGCCTCATTGTCAGGTTCCTTCATTATCCCACACCAGAGGGGAGAAAGAGAGACCCTGGATACTCCCTATACTAAATCCAACCTCGTTTGGAGAGTCTATCATTACCCCACCCCAAAGGGTAAGAAGGCAGACCTCGTAATCCTTATCCTAAATGCAGCATCATTCTAATTGTTTCAACTTGGTATTTAATTCTTAGTTCAAATTTGAAACCTTCGATGTTTGGAAGCACCTGGTTCTTTCTGCAATCCCATAAATATATTTTACCAATTATTAATATCGGATGATAAATTTAACAAGGGGCAGGTTGACATTGTTATTCTAATTATAACCTCTCGTTAACACAACGCATGAAATTCTTTTATTATTGTTACACATGTAAGTAATACTGCTATCAGTGTTGGGTAATAAGATCCCATAGAATGAGAGTTATTTTCCCTATCTAGTGCTTGTTTCCATTCGACACTGAAAGATAACAGCATTTGTATTCATGTGTTGAACTTGCATTAAGAGGAATTGAAAAGATCAGTCCCCTTTTCTCCCCCTTACTGCAAAGATTCATAAAATGCCCCTTTTTCTATATCCTCTTAACTAGCTGTAAGGAGTGCATACCGGTAATTTTAATTTTTGTGTTTATTGTTACTATTATCTTACTGACATTGAGTACTCAGGAATATTACTTACCACTATTAATTTACATTTTACCTCTACTTTTCAATTTTTGTATAAACATTTTTATAAGTCTTATATTGGTGAAATTTTTACCATATTTCGATTTGACTAGAACCATCTGCCCCCACCTCCCGTAAATCACTTCAATAAATTGTTAGTTTTTCATTCACTATATTATCTTGTAATAGGTCGCGCTTTTCTCCCCCTCTCCTTCCTGCTTTTGCGCCTGCCACGCGGACTATCTTATTACTATTTTTGTCTTCTTTAGGGCCAACCTCGTTGGTATCTCATGTCCATTCGTTTGCCTCTCAATAAGCCTGTTGCAAATATTTACTTTTAAGTTTCTAATAAAATCCCTGTTGCTGCTATTTTAGGGAATTTTAGGGCATTTAAGGTAACTAAGATTTTTGGTCTTTCCGTTGCAGATCCTCGGTTAGGAAATGCCACAAAGGTCCTGGAAAAGGACATATCTCTAATTACCAAGGTAACGAGAACTAGGCATATAGCCTGAAACGTCGTTCCAGCCTTTCGATTTAGGTCTGAGCAGGTAATCGGCTCCTGGTCTAAGACGTACTGTTTCTTTGTTTATCTCGAAATCAGTATCATAATGGCATCTGACGGTTGGGTGGACGAGCTTAATAAGAAAGAACACAAAAACTGGGTGATGGTTGGTTGTGCCCTAAATATTACAAAAAGAGGAATTACATCAAAAAATTCAAAACAAAATGGAAACTTGGTACCAGTCCCTTATTTCCAGTCCTCCGTTTCAGGCACTTCCATCTTGCGCTTGCGCATCGTCAGCATCAAAGTGCCTCACTTGTGACACTTGGAAAACGAAACTGAAACACCACCACACATCCGGGCGACCAAAGATTTGCTGGGACAACAGTGACCGAACACAGTGGGGATCTCCGACTGGGGCATGGGAGATAGCTAAAGTCTTTATGCCAACTCTTGGAGGTCGTGAAAAAGATGTTAGCGACGCCGAAACTACGGACATTGGTGGTCTTTTGAACCTGCTTGAATGGTGTCCTTTTATTAATCCTCCTGCGAGTCGAACAGTTTTGAAGTCGGCAAGAGATGAGTGTAGGAATCACTGGGCGCACGCTCCAAAGCAAGAACTCGAGGATAGTGATGTCCTGACCATATTTGATCATCTAGAAAGTCTGCTAAATGACCCAGTGTTTTTCACTGACAAAGCTGCTCAGGAGGCATTAGGAGACCTTAATGAGTTGCAAAAACATGGTTTAGTAAACGTCACAGAATCTGAGATCGCGGTTCTTCGTTTGCTGCGCCTGACGCTTCAAGAAGATTTGGTACAATGCCGAGATAGATTATCCACCCTTGAGGAGGAAATTGCACTAGTTAAAAAGCAAGAGGGCCAGAACACAGAGAACATAAACAAGTTGCTCCAGGAAGTAGATGAATTAAAAGGCTTAGTACAAGCAGTGGATTATTTTAACAAACAAAAAAATGAGAGAGAGGACATTAGAGAAGCGTTTGAGGCTATCTATGACCAAGATATCAAACCTAAATTTCGTGCAATAGAGGTGGAATTAGCAAACTTTAGAGCCAAATTACAGGAAGTGGAGAACAGAGTTGATATTTTGGAAGAAAAATTTGAAAAGGGCTGCTCCTCACAAAAAGAGAATGATTACCAGAAAAAATATGTTTGCACTGCACCACGTCAGGTAAAATCATTCTTTGGTCGAGAATCGGCTCTAAAATGGTTAGAAGACAATCTTGTCGAAGAGAGAGTTGAAAACAATCGCGGAACTCCCTGTAGCACTAAAGCAATATGCGGCCTTGGAGGCTGTGGCAAGACTTCTGTTGCTATAGAATTTGCTTGGAAATACTGGAAACGCTTCCCAGGTGGCGTGTTTTGGATCAATGGAGAAAGTGATGAAGCTATTAAGACAACGGTGACAGAGATACTAGCTTATGCGAACGATTTTTCCTCGAGAAACGAGGACCTTGATTACTATTTGAACAAATTCCTAGCAAGGCTTTCAAAGAAGGAACTTCCATGGCTTCTCATAGTGGACAATGCAGATGAATTACGGGATTCAAGTTGCCCCTCAGGAATCAAGAAGATTTTCAAAGGAAGTTGGCAAACAGCTGCCCCTACTGCATCAGAGTATGGCCACATACTTCTAACAACAAGGCAAAATGCAAAAGACACAAGAATGTTCTCAAAGCTCTCAAGAGGTGATTGCTTTGAGTTGCCTTGTTTCAGTGAAGAAGAGGGGGCAAGATTTCTTATGAGAAGAACCAATCTTCAAGGAGATAGCGATCGTAGTGAAGCCATTTCCTTAGCGAAGGAATTGGGAGGACTACCACTAGCCCTCGAGCAAGCAGCAGCCTACATATGTGCCAGCCATATGGAATTCAGCTTTAAAGATTACCTAGATCACTACCAAGAAGTTAAGGTGGATTTCCTGAAGAAGAATCGTGTTACATCACCAGGTGCTGTGGAGGCAGAGCATCGGTTGTCGGTTCACTCAACTTGGAATTTAAACTTTAAGTGTGTAAAAGAAAAATCAGCTGCTGCTGCCCTTTTGATGCAAATTGTTTCCTTTGTCGATGTAAAGGAAATACCTTTCTGTTTTATAAACCCTGGTTTGCCTGAAATAGTTCAAGAGGATTTAGGTCAATGTGCCAGTTCTAAGGCTGGTGTTGATAGCCTCTTGAAGGATCTGTCAAGTTACTCCCTGGTGTCCGTTGATGATAAGAACAAGAGCTTTAGTGTCCATCCTCTTGTAAAAGAAGTCATCAAGGACAGTCTTACTGAATCGGAGCGTTCTGTGGCACTGGATCTAGCTTTGCAGCTTTTAGATTTTGCAATCTCGGACCTTTCTGGAAAGGTAACTATGGGTGTTATGTTACTAGTTTAGTCCATTCGATTGACCTGCCTTATTGAAGAATATGATCTAACAGCAAAACAAAACTTGTTTAAGATAAACTATTGCAGTATTTAAAATTTGTCGCATTGCAGTGACGGAAAATGTTGGAGTGGCGAAAAATGTTTGGCTAAAAAATTTCTTGTAAATTTAAGTGTTTTTGTCAATCGTTTTCTGGAATGTGACTTATTGAATGCCCCGCCGAACATAACCTCTAATGAAGTCATTAAATGGTGTACTAATCTCTGCATGCTGCTTTTGAGATTACTGCTTTTGGCTGTTATGAAACTGGATGTGATCCTCATTTATGTGATGAACTGCTGATTAAGATATAGATGTCGAAACAATCCAAATGGAGAGCGTGGCCAACACCCTATCCAATCGACGGTTTCCGTCACCACAAAGGTCAGGGTTTGATTCCCGCTCAGATCTGAATTTTTTTCAGGTTCTTTTTCAACCACTTATTGAGATTGTTCATTTGACCGCGAGGATCACGTTTCTCAGTTCATATCACCATCCAAAATCAGGCACATGACTTTAGTTCATACACTCTAAGTCACTGTTTTTCCTCTTGGTGTTTGCAACCAATTAATGAGTCTTACTTATATCGTTTTAAATCTTTTATTGCAGAATGAACTGAAACCCATGAAAATGCAAAGTGATACGGGCCAATTCCAACAGCACCATCCTTTACTACTTTTACTACAGATGCAACTGATGGAAGTCCAGATTGAGGCGAGACAAGCCCTGAGTATGGCGAGGGAACTCGAGAATGACACGAGAGAACTCAAAAATATAGGAAGGAAACTCGAGAATGAGACGAGGAAAATCGAGAAATATCTCATGAAAGAATAAATCATTATTTTCCTCTGGAAACAGTAACGGTGATCCAAACAGAAAAACTGATATAATTTGTGCTTTAGACATAGAAGGCCACCTGTCAGCAAATATTCGAACAGCAGAGGTCAGGAGAGCAGATTAGTTCTAGGGTAGAATAAAGTGGACATTCAAGAAAAAAAGCTTAACTGTCTCTCTGTGGAAACCCCCAAAACAAACGGGGTTTTCTCTACAACCTATTTTAAAAAGATGATAGTTACGCGACTCTAAAGCGCACAAGCAAACGTCAACGGGTGTGGAAAATTGCATTAAAGGCAGCGTGTTAGAGCGCTGCACTTGCAATATGGAGGCCTCGAGTTTAAGTCCCACCCTGACCGCTAGCTGGATTTGTTTACGGTAGTCCAGAGTTCAAATCCTCGGTCATGCTTGTAAATAGCCAGCTGGTTTACCTTCGGCCATTTGGGATTCTTAACCCTGTCAAGTTCAATTTGAGTTATTTGTTTAAGGCATTTGCTCGGCCACGTGCAAACTAGCATTAGTGCTGTAAATATTGCCGATACTAAATAACGGAATTATTATTATTATTATTATTATTATTATTATTATTATTATTATTATTAAATCTATCAATAGCGAAATCACAAGTTACCTTATAACTAGGCACATTGTAAAAGGCAAATAAAAGAACCAATGAATTCGAGGCAACGTATGTCAAAACTCATGCCATTCCATTGCATTTGTTTGTTAATCGATGAAGATTTCACTATTCTCCGGTTCTCGGTGAACAGCTGTTGTGTCATTCATCCGAGTCTTTCATTTTTCTGTTTTTGCCATATTTTGTGAAGTATGTCGCACACAATGCTGTTCTTAATCCGGTGTAATAACAACCCCCTGAAAGCAAACTTCTTTGTGAGAGTCATGCTTTATGATCACGAATTCGAAATTATTCAGAGTTCGACAGTACCTTAGGGTGAAGGAGAACTTGTAAATTTTGTTTTGTTGACCTTTTTGCTTGTTTTGTTTTGTTGTCTTTGTTTCATACCAAACCTTTATCTCCGTAGAGGTTAACTACAATCATGGACAAAAGTCTTGGGACAGTTATACAGTTCGAACGCTTTTTAACACACGCGAAATTGTATCCGCCCGCTACTAACACTGCACGTCCCTACCCCCTCCCCCCATCCCACGGACAGTGTTGAAACCGTCAAGGCACAATTCCTTTGATCTTTCAACATTGTATTGGGTGGGGAGGGGGGAGGGGACATGGATTTGTAAAATGACAGCACTGCTTTTTGCGACATTACTTGTGAAAGGCATAGAATTGAAGTTACGCTCTGACTGTCCCAAGGACTTTTGTCCATGATTGTAGTTCAAGACTGGGTCCAAAACAATTATTGAAACTTACACACTGAACGACTCCATATATTCAATAGAGTGAGTAACACATGCCCCTCTAAAATTTTGAATATTAGAAATAAATCCTCCAAACCTTGGATATCGTCTGGCTTAAAAACGTCTATGAAAACGCGTGATAAGCTCTTAACGCATGATTTAACACGGTATTAACAAATGCAAATTGTCAAAAATCGGAAAAAAATAATTTCTAATATATAGATTTAGCCATGGCTAAAAGCGAAGCCTCCGTTTTATACTTGTGATTAACGCAATCAAATTAAAGTAATAACATGAACTCTAAGCCCCCCAAAAATGAAATCTTCACATGCCTATTAATAGAACTGTTGGAGCCTTCGGCATCAGACACCTTTAGTAGATGGAGGGGCTAAATGATTAAGAAAGATATCCCGCAAACAAACCTGAATTGAAAAAATTGTTAAATTGTGGGTCTCTTCAGTAGCAGCAATTTACAGGTTACGATTTCTAGAGTCGGTATTTCTGTGTTTAAGGGAAGACCTAAAAGGAAAATCAGGCCGACTTAAGAACTTTTGTCTTCGCCTATGCCCATTATTTTTTATTTTCTTTTTATTTCTTTTTTTTTAAACGGGCCCGAACAAACAGTTATGTGTAACCTTTGCATTTTATACCTCACAATATCTAAAAGAAAAATTTTCCCCTCAGGTGTATAATATTTTCTCTGAGGACGGACATAGGAAAGCAAACAATAACTTTTTTCGGTACGAATAACTATAATCCAATCTTTCACTACAAATATAAACGTTAATACAGCAACTTACAATTTTTTTGTATAAAAAAAAAAAGACAAACTCGGGTTCGAAAAGCCGACGAGTCTGTCCGTTTTAGAATAGAGAAGAACTCTTTCACATTTAGAGAGCTCACTTTTTCAGGGGGAATATAAAGCCGTAGACAAACAACTAAAAACAAGCGCAGAAACAAGCGGTATTCAGCTGTATTCAGGGCACAAGTTATGGAAAAAGAGCAGCACACTGCACACTGCAAAACTGCAGAAATTCTTGAATTCTACACACTGCAAAATTCTTGAATGGCAATTAATGAAGGAGGCAATTCAATGCGGAACATGTACAAAAACAACACTTCAGTTTTAATTCAAGAAATAAATGTTTCTAAAAATCTCACGATCTGTAGTTTCATGGTCGTTTTTGGAGCTAATGTTATAAATGAACAATGACAGATAAATGACTTAATTTCTTGAAAATTTTTGTTAAAAAACCCTTGAGTTAATCCTAAAAAGCAATTCGTGTAACACAAACTGGATCGTGGATCCGTTCACGCAAGTTAAGCACATGGCAAAAAATCAATTTGGAATGCACATTTTGTGGTTTTTCTTTCACGCCAATGTCAAAATGTAGAAAACGTCCAGGAAACGTTTATAAATACAAAAAGTCCCTTCTAAAAACGTACATTTCTTTGATCATAGAGTACAGAATGTACCTCAAGTGTCTTCAGGAACCTCGCTGCATTGGTTGGTTCAAACCAAGCCAAGCGCTCCACAGGGCACCCAGAATCACAACAACCTACTGGAAGCTAAATTATAAGGATTTGTAGGGAAATTTCTCTTAAGATCGATAAAATAGTAAAAATGTACAAAAACAGCTGTTAAGGTATACATACCTCATAAAAAGTTGTGTCTGTTGTTTTCTTACTGTTTTCTGCCCTATAAACGCCATTTTAGCAAGTTTTGATGTTTTGATTTTTCAACTATTAATAAGAAGACAAGGGAAAACTCGACTGTGCTACGCTGCCCGGAAAAAAAAAGCTACAAAAATTACCTTTATTCCACTCCAATCGCTCCCAAACTTCGCTTGAGTACAGAACGAAGATTTTCCTTCCTTGAAAATGTCAATTTAGTTCCAAACATCGAGCCATGGCCTCAAGAGGACGAGAAATGTCGCTAAAAAACTTGCAATTACCGCGTCCGTACAACCGTTCTTCTGCAAAGTAACCTACCGATGGCATTGCTCTGACGTTGCTCTTGCCTTAGTAGCCACGTCGCCCGTTAAAAATCCCCCTCAGCGGGGATTGACACGGGAAAAGTCAACCCATAGAAAACCAGATTCGCAAGGGTACCCAGGGAACGCTTTCGCACACGCATTACAAAGAAGTGGCGGGAAAAACGCCGGTTTTAGAGGGTTGTCGCCAAGTTTAAAAGTCTATTAAGCTACCAGGGAAATAATACCATCAACTGACGTGATACAACTCACTTTTACTCTGAAGATGACTACCGCACAGGTTGTCGAAACGTCAGTCACTGTCAACAACAACAGTCCTATTCAGGACTACGTTCACCCGGACGATCAAACTCAACCTACTTTTAAAATGACTCCTGGGTTCAAACCTTTCACGGAAAGTTGTTTGTAGCGTAGTGCCTTGATTTCAGGAAGAATTACGTTCTCTCTCAAATCTTTTCGTCAAGGCTTGTCGTTTCTGTATTCGATAAACTATTATGGCTCTTGCTGTTTTTGTACATTTTAACCATTTTACCGATCTTAAGATAAATCTCCATACAAATTCTTATAATTTTGCTTCCAGTAGGCTGTTGTGATTCTGAGTGCCCTGTGAGCGCTCCGATCTGCCATGTAGAAAACAAGGTTGAATTCCTTGAAAGACAATTTCATAGCGAAAAGCTTTCGTTTGTTCACAACGAGGAGACAGAGGATTCTTTTGAACTTTCTCTTTCCATTTGTGTCTTTTCTTGACGTACTTTCAATCTTGAAATGCAAACTTTTATCTTGAAAACCACCACATGATGAAAGTGCGCCAGCCATTTTTGTTGATGGATGACATTTACTAAGGTGTCAAATCTGTTTCTTCCCCCACCCCCTAAATGGTTGACTTGACCATTGGACGTTTGTGGGGGAGCGGGGTATGGGTGATTTAGTTTGGGTAAGATTTTTTTCCCAAACCTAAAAAAAGTTGGAAATTTTTTCCCCGACATATAACGGTGTAAGATTTTTTTTGCAGCATTATACGTCATGAGCGATAGTTTTTCAGTGCAGGATATTATTTTTCCCAGGAATTTATTTGCATCCTCTCCAAATCAGTCTGCAGGATATTTTTTTCTGAAATCACCCTTAACCCCCTCAAAAGTCAAATGGTAGGCCTCTAAAATCTACCAAACATTTGGTCAGTTGACAGATTCTGATTTGCCAATCATTTCTAAAGCCTTTTGAAACAATAGGGGACAAAACTCTCTAGGGGAGAGGGGAAGAATTTGTTTCTACTTTCCCCTACCCAGAGAGTCCGTACGGACGTACGGTGACGTCATAATCAAATTTTCTTGGATGGATAGTTTACCAAATTTTCTTACCCATGGTGCTCTGATGCGCGCGCTTCGCGCGCGCGAGAGCTTCGCCTTAAATATGTACTTTCGTGAACTTTATTATAATTCAGTTTTAACTAACTCTAACAATACTAAAAAATGTGGGATAATATTAACTACAGTATAGACAAGAAAAGACCCAACTCTCACATTGAGCAATTCAAATATCCGTAAATAATAAGCAGTATCATCAACCCTC